ATTTAGAATAATGAACAATATAAAATACAGTTTTGCGTTATGCATCGAAAGTCAAAGCCAAGTCTGAAATCTAAGTCAAAGAAAGTCAAGTCTTAAGCTATGAAAGTAATATGGGTATTGTCTTTGCTTCAAATCTGGGAGGACGTTTCTGTCTTCTCGACGATTGTCCACTGCGATAATTTGAGGATTTCCGTTTGAATTTTCGATTTTGAGATTGTTACGACATTTATTTTGCAAATAGAATTTTAATAATAAACATATTTTTATTTTCACCGTTTTATGTTTAAAAAATTCTTTTTTCTTGTTTTAATTTTATCGTTTAACATTAAGAATAATCTGATGTAGGTCAAAACGTCTGTTTTTATTATATTATGTTAATGTACTAACTCATTATATTAGAGAATTAAATAACCAGCTCTGGCTCATAGCCCACATTTTAATTATTATTTTGTCATTTATTGAGCCTTTTTTATTTTTTGTTTATTTTTAAACTTTATTATTTAAGTTTCGTCATTTAAAAGATAAATTCACGTAAATTAAAATGGCAATTTCTAATTCTATACAAGTATTATTATCATATTAGATATACTGCATGCGCATATCGAATAGTAGATATAAAAAATAAATATATATATTATACAAAAATATAAATAGACATTATATAAAAAACAAATAAAAAAATTATATCAAATATAGTAATATAATTATTTATGTGAACCGACACAGGTGTTGGTGTGTGAAATTCTTATTGTTACAATATCCTGCAGTCACACACTATTTGTGCGCCGCACGGTCTTAAAACAGCTCTTTTTCATGGAGCTGGAAACTTTTATCTAATTGAATTGACGAACAGTTTAATATCTTTTGATGCTAATATTCATCAATTTTTAAGATTCCTTTCTCCTCAAACCTGCAAAGAAATTTATTGCGAAAAATAACATCTCAGCTCCAAGCCGGGAATTGAGGGGAGGGGAATCTTATAGATGCATATTAGTATCGAAAGATATTAAATTGTTCCTGATCAATTTAATTAGTTACAAGTTTCCGGCTTCGTGCAAAAGAGCTGTATTTCAAGATTAACAAACCGTGCGGCGCGCTGATCGTGTGTGGTTGGATATTGTAACAATAAGAATTTTACACACGAACAACCGTGTAAGCTCTTATAGGCAATTATTTCACTAAATTTGATTTATTCCTTGGAACCTATTCCTTCTATTTAATTTCATTTAAATAAATTATATAAAAATAATAATTACAGAAATATTGACAAGATGAAGAAACAGACAAGAATCGTTATTTCCATTACTGTCGTTATGCTATGGCTATTAATTTGTTATGCTATGGCGGGTGTGGATAAAGAAGATTGTCGTTATATGTGGCAAGGCGTAAGTATTTATACAACATATATTTTATAAAAGATAGTATCTTTCCACATTATAAAGACATACAAAGGAAACGATACTAGAGTTAAAAAAATTTTTAATTCATGTTTTGTTCTGTGCATAATCTATATATAAACTTATCAAGACTACAAGAAAATCTTTTACATCTGTATCGAAGCATCCGCAATATTATCCGCAAATTAATATTAATTTTTAATATTGAATAACACAACTCTAAATATTACATTTTAAATATTTTAGTGTATCCAGGATAAGGACTGCTGCCAGTGCTTGCAATGTAGCAAGAATAAATGGTGTCTATGGGACGGCACCATAAATTGCGAATGCTTTAAAAAAATATTTGGAAAATAGTAAATAGAAAATAGATAATAGATATCTAATAATATTAGATCTCCAGTAATATTATGTAGTAATATTATGTAGTAAATATTATGTAGTAATATATTACATAGAGGAATTATTAGAGGAATTATGTAAAAAAATTATGTAATTCTAAAAATGAAAATATAAATATAAAAACAAACATATAAAAAATATTAACTTACTCTGCTAAATCACTTTGAATCGCATATTATTACAAAGTTATATACCTAAACAACGTATCACATTTAGCAGGTAATGTGAGCAATTATATTTCTGATCAGGAGACACGGTAATGGCTTGGTGTCGTGTTTAAAAAACTATAAATATAAATAAAATATAATATAAAATATATGTAAATATATGTATGTATATCATATAAAAATGATATGTCATATATGGGTGCGTTCCGATATTCACTAAGTACTGGCGCTATGACGTAATTTAGTAGAGCTTTAAGAACGTTCCGTTATTACTGAAGCTGATTTTACTACAGCTGTAGATATCGTTCCGTTATTCTATCGCTATGTACGGAAAAATCAGCTTCAGTAATAACGGAACGTTCTTAAAACTCTACTAAATTACGTCATAGCGCCAGTATTTACAGTGAATATCGGAACATTGAAGTGAAAAGGACCATTTTTGCTTCCATATTGAATAACTCGGTGAAAAAAAATCGCACAATGCTGATCGAGCACGCAAATTAAAGATAAAGATTCACTCTTTCGAACGCTGTAAGTCGCATTTGTATGCGATTTTTATTGCACTCCATGGAACTTCGCAAACTTAGTCCAAAATTTTTAGATTTGATGTATCTCCATTTGCATTCGTGCGGCTTTATAAAGAATCAGTAAGTCATTTAATGAATTATGGATTTCGAATGTAAAGACTTCAAGCTGTAAAATGCTTTTTGGATCATTCTGTTACGATCATTTTTGACAAAGTTACACTCTTTTGAAATCTCCCTATTTTTAGCGATCAAAATAGGTGATTCTTCTAAAAATAGGGAAATTTCAAAAGAGTGTAACTTTGTTAAAAATAATCGTAACAAAAAAATAATAAAATAATAAAAATAATAAAAACAAATGATTGTAATAAAAAAATAATAAGAACAATTGAAAAATATTTAAACACATTAGAAATATATTAAGAAACTTGCACTAATTGTCCTTACAAAGAATAAAATTGCAATTACATTACACAATATTTTGTTTATATAATTACATACATATATATATATATATAATTAATATTCAAAATTCAAATATCGATCGATATTTGATTATATTACAATAGTACCATATTTGGTATATTTATTGTTTGCAAATGATTCGATCAGTCACTATTATATAGTATAATTGTGCTTATAATTATACATGCAGATTATCCAAATTAAGGAGGAAAAATAGTTATTTTTCCATGTAACCAATTGTATAAAAAAAGAATTTTAAAATAATAATAAATAAATTACCAGCTCGTTATATATAAACAATAAAAAAGACAGGACAATAGGCCAAAGACGAGCATAAAACAAAAGGTGTCAATTAATAAAAATTAATAAAAATTCTTTAATAAGTCATTTAAATAAAATTAAAATTAAAAAAAAACGCAAGACTAGTTTCGGCTTACTTAGCCTTTCTCAATCGCTAATTATATGATATTACAAACTAAACCGAATCCACGCATATGAAATTTAGATAAATGTCGAACAGATCTTATTGTCCTCTTCTTCCAGCCAAATGTAATTCCATATTAGATCAGTCCGCAATAGATCCTCGGAAACATAACATCTTGTGTGAAGCTTAATATATTATACACCGTTACCAATCAGCTGGGGAAGCATCGTTGATATAATGAAGCGACATGTTAAATATCTAATATGGAATTACATTTGGCTGGAAGAAGAGGACAATAAGA